TACTATTTTTTTAAAGGTAATGAATTTTATAAATATACAGCAACAGCAGAACAAAAATTAAACAAATTTGAGGATAACTTGTTTTTAATGTAATTTATTATTTCAATTATTTTTTCTTAAAAGTGCTCTTCTTCGATTTTACTACAATACAGTTTGTCTATTAAGAAAAATGTGTAACTGAATATATAATATATATAATATCCAAGTTACTTTTACTTTAGTAAAATCAACCGATCACGTTTTAACCAAGCAAATATTTCTGGACTTAAATGAAGATAAAATGTTTACCTACAATTAACTGGAAAAAATAAATGAATGTCCTAATAATAAAGTATTTGTAGGCCTAGAAGGTATGTATCTTCTATTGATCCAGACGTATAATTATAGCGGTCTGATTTTGATGTTATATGCTTTAGATGGTGAAGCGTTAGTCGAAAACACATTAGTTACATGGCTAATCGTAAAACATACGGTAATAGATATATTCCAGATACCATCTTTCACTTTTTATATCTATTTACTCTGCAGTGCTTCATGAAGTATACCTAACCTTGCCTAACCTACCATACTCCCCAGATCTAACGCAGTGATTACCATATTTTCCCTCTTTTAAAATAATGGGACAGCAAGTAATTCACGGCAGTGGTCAGTTGACTGTTTCGGAAAATAGACATAATTGTGATAAAAAAACAGTGAGTAATTGAGGAGGAAGGCGATTATGTAGAAAAATAACATGGTACTCAAAAAAAAAAATGAACATGCTGTATTTAATTTCCTTCCCTGTTTTGTTGGTAATGGGTTATTTTTTTTTAATGAATATTATTAAAATATCTTTTCCCTTGGCCCTATACTTTTTTTTTATAAGAATAAATGAATAGGTTTATTATGTATTGGTTTTTACTCACAAAAGGTATGCAATTCATTAAATGTCAACGTTTATAATAACTGATAGCTGATACACTCATTTGGCCAATGAGTATTTTTATTTATAATTTCCTGAATGTAAGCCTTCCGTTAGTAAGTACCTGCAGCTATGTGTCACACTAATGTTTTGATTAGGTTGACTTTCAAGTAGATGGTAAGTGCAAGTTACCTTTTTTGAACAATTGTTATTATTGTTTTTATTTGAGCGCAATTGTTGAACGCCCAGTGAAGTTGTAGGCAACGGTAAGCCATCAATGTAAATTATACGATTTAATGTTACTCTGCAATAAAGAGATACCGTCTTATGTCTTTATGACATTTTTAATATACCTCTAAGGTTTAATTATTTTACAATATCCCTATAAGTGACTGAATTATGGCTGCTCATTTCTATTGATGTGACAAATATTGACTGACGACATTAAGTATATGGATGTTACATTTCATATAAGCACCTGTAATTTAAGTATTCTTAAAAACACTTACTAGAAAACGAACTCTTTTGAGATAAGAGATATTTTACGTACGTATATCATAACAATTGCATGTTGATCTGTCTACACAACGTAATTTCTACATATGTACCTACATGCTGATTTATAGATAATTACGACCATAATAATAAAACTGAAGCGCCATATTTTAAAGGCAACTGTAAAATTGTGAAAAATTCATATATCAGAAATGGGAGAGTATTAGGAGAGGAAAAACAGCCATTTAGTTACATTCTAGAAATTCCTAATTGATTAACTGCATTTGTTAAATAACCTTTAAGGGCAAATAAGTAAATCTAAACCAGTAATAGTTTTCACAGTAGTACAATTAGGTTGGAAACTTTACAAAAGCATGTTTTAAGAGAGGTATGAAATTTAAATTTTGGTATATAGTATGTTAAGTACTCTTATTGAAAAGCCCATTCTTAAAGTTTTATAAATGCTAAGTGTATTGTTGTATTATAAAGATAATGACTGATACGGGATTTGTATCAATTTCATTCAGAGCCACAAGCCAATCTGTCTTTAAATTGCTCTTGTCACCGTAATTTACTGCCAACCAACTCATAATGGTTGCCAAATTGACAACCTTTCTATATGTATATACTCATTCATTTTCGAGCGCGTAACAGTGCCGGTCATAATGGTGCAATTTTTAGGATTTCTAGTACTTACTTTTGGTAAGTTTACTGAAAAAAATTAATTCTTTCATTGTGATTATCATTTGTTTATTATTCAGGTAATTTACTTGCGAATTATTTTCTCAACCAAATTCTTAATATAGAAATTTCGTTTTCGCATGCACTTAATTTTTTGGCACTTTTGTAAAATTTGTCGTTCTTTTCTTCAGAAAGTAGTGACTAAAAACTGAACAGAAGTTTACTTATTTTAGTTATACAAATCTTAGTACTGTTTGAGGTTGATATCACCTATTTAATTATCAAATTTCAAAGTTATTTATTAAATTGAAAATAAAAACTTTTTGAGTTCATTTCCTCCAGTCGTGCGAGATTCAGTACTAACGATAACATCGTTGATTTAAAATAATAAGTTAACATGCATTATTATAGTTAAATCCAAATATAATATGCATGCTGCAGCTACATTAATTATTGGTGGCACGCACTGGTGTCACACTCCTCTGTTTATTTCCTTCTGAAATTAAAGTCGCGCTTGTACATAGTAGTAAAAATTTTGAACTCGAATATGCAACGTTTGGACCCAATCCAACGTTGGTGATTAAAAGATCTTTATTTTTTCTTACCTATAGATAGAAACACAGAAACTAGCTCGCTCTTTTATAAGTAACATTTACACATAAATAAAATTAATCATTCAGTTTCAGAAACGTTATTTCGAAGAACATTTTATTTATAACTTAGACAAAAGTTACGTTATTTTTGTGTTATGATGTATTAACAAGTTCTGGTTTGATATTTTTATCTGCAGAAATAATGAGATGAAGTAGCCAACAGGATAGATAAATGGGCTTAAATTGTTGAATGGTGCCATTCATGTGATTTTATAATATAATATTTCTTCGTTTAATAGAGGCAAAAGGATAAAAAGATACTTTTAGATGGTGTAATTTTAAAAGGCAATTAATTTTTTTATTGTTTACGAATGCATTTGACAAACAATGCCTACTGTTGTGGATTGCATAAAGATGTTATTTAAATGATTTACAAAATGCAAAAGAATTCGTATTACTGAACAAAGCAAGAGTAGACATTTGATAGAGTGCAGGATTCATGCCTTTAAAAGTTTTGGCGTAGTGTATCATAAACATAAGATTTGGTGTTTTTTTGCAAATCTATATTCAAATCAAACAGTTTTTTGTCAATATTGTTGTTAATATTGCTATAATCACAGCTCCCGTTCATCGTTCAATAATTGTTTACAAGAAATAAGCAAACAGAACAAATTCAGACTAATTTAAATTGTTGTAATATTAGAAACTCTTTTCTATTCATGCAAAAAGATAAGCATACAAGTTATAAGATAAAACTTCAGTAGGAGAATATAAGCGCCGCTGTACTTTTTATCGATACCCTCTCCAAGTGAGAACCTTCAACCCACGTGAAAGATTACAAAAAATATGTGTTTGCATTATCTCGAAAACGTAAGTTAAATTATAAATTTAATCATTAATATTTTTAAAAAACCATAAATAATAATCCTAATAAAGCATTGCTCACGTTTTGCAATAAAATATATGGAATGAAGAAGGGCGAGACATATTTTGTGGCAATTTACGAGCATGTATCAAGCATGAAAATAATTTAATTAGGACGATGAATACACAATAATTACTATTTCTGGTTTATAAGACTGCCGATAGCAGATATTAGAAATGAGAAGGTTTTAGAAAGAATAGGATAACAGTGGGCGTTGTATAACTGTATACAAAAAGGAATCATGATGGTAGGATACCTTCTGAGACATGAATGAAATTTATGTTCTATACCCAACCCTATTAAACCATCAAAAAGCGAACCAACGGGCACCCTTAACGGATAACACTAAATTTTAACCTTTTAAAGTAGAAGCACTATGATTGGTTAGTAGTACAATTAGTTAAGAAATGTTTTTAATCCTTTCTAGGCAATATCCACTAAAGATAGTTTTTGATAACTGCTAGAGATAATTAAAAAACTTAGTTAAACTTGTTTAGACAATAATCATAAAAGGTACGGAAAAGATAAAAAAATCAAAGTTTCTCTATAGTTGAATTGCACATAGTTATTGGAGACATATTGGAAGTAGAACTGTGAGTGAACAGGGGCACAAGAAGACCTAGATTGGGATATTGTTCGCAAATAATAATTCATTGGACGTGAGATGTTTTAGTTTTAGGAAAATACAGATTTTAAGTTCTGTCTTGTTCATGTGCTTATACGTGACCTCGATATTGTCTTGATTTCTTTATGTCTTGTATAAGGAAATCTTTGATCCCGACTTTGAATACCTAAGGTACCAAAATTTAGGTAGAAAATTTAAAATAAAAAAAGAAATGGTCTAATGAATGGCTATAATAGAAGTATGAATAGATTATCACTATCGCGACTGTTCTGTTTCTGCATCGCTGTTAGCCTTAAGTATAGAATGAGATATGCTCAAGATCTTGAACAAGTGGTCCTGACAAGATAAGTTTCTCAAATTATTCATTTTGCTATTGAGTCATATCTCATATAAGCTCTTGCACTTAATAATAGTTTGGTTTTGAAAACACGAGAATACAAGATCGAAATATTCATGACTCTTGCGGTAGCCCAAGCTCAGGCTAGGAAGTACAGGTGTTGCGCGCCCCATAATTTTATGAAAATCGATTTTTAAACTAGGAATGTGTTTAATTTCATTTAATTTATAATAAAGTAGAAATAACTGTAAATGTAAATGTGCCACGAATCATATGTAAGGGTTTTGGTGGTGTACGAACAGCTCAAATTTACTTTATAACAAGATAGTGAAGATTATGCCAAAGGTGTTTCATGTAGCATGTCTGTACGAATGTCAGTTAAGCATTGGTATGCCTAACAATTCCCTAACACGAATTTACCAGTAACAATAATTTCAA